GCGATATCATCAGCATACTCTTAGTCGGTCGCGCGCTCGCCCGGTAGAAGCCCTAGGCCAAAATGTTGGAAACCTTCTAGAGCATTCGACAGAACGTCTTCGATTGCGAAGTTGAAGAGGAATAGGGACATAGGGCAGCCCTGTCGCACACCGCTATTGACAATGAAATGCGAGGAAACCTTGCCATAGACCCTCACTCTGCCGCATGTATGAAGGTAAAGTGCTCGTAAGATGGCGGTATGTTTCTCTGGCACCCCCTTCTTAAGTAAGCAATGCCATAAAGCAGGTCGATCAACGGAGTCAAAAGCGACACGTATGTCTAGGAATGCAATGATAGTGGGCCTGTGATAAATGTGGCAATGTTCGAGGAGCTGGCGGAGCGTGAAGATTTGATCCACGCATCCGCAGCCAGGACGGAAACCAATTTGTTCTTCATGGTAGTACGATTCACGTACTGGGGATAGCCTGCGAAGCAGAATGGATGCCAATAGCTTAGAGGCAACCGAAGTAAGACTAATCCCGCGATGATTTGCACATGAAGTGCGAGCGCCTTTCCCGAAAATCGGGATAATGACTGATTCGCCCCAAGAAGAAGACACTTTCTCTTCATGCCAAATTTTGGCGAACAGCGAGGTCAGCTGGCTAATGATGCCCACACTGCCGTACCTGAATAGTTCCGGAAAAAGTCCGTCTAAGCCGGCAGCCTTGAACCGCTTTAATTGTCGAATCTCGAGGCAGACTTCCGCCTCGCTGGGTGAATTCAGTGGGACGATCCAGGGTGGACAACAACGTGCACTGCATGTACTGATGGATGGTGGAAGCCAGTTGAACTGCGAGTGAAAGTGCTCAGCCCAGCGGTCTATACGCCTCTGTTGGTTGGTGATCGGACACTCATCCGCCTTGCAAATGACCTCACTGACACCAGGCTTCCTGAGGCCAGTTGACCGAATGAGTTGGAAAAGCCTGCGAGTGTTGCCAGAGAGGTCAGCGGTCTCCATCTCTAAAGCACGCTCAGACCACCATGTCTCGCGATTCTTGCGTAGGCTTTGCTTGAGCAGCCGGTTGGCACAACGGCGCCGCTCGTTGCAATCTGATTCCGCGGGGATACCTTTGCGGCGTTCGAACAGCTCCAGAAAACGAGCAGAGATCCAAGCCTTCAAGGGGCGTCGCGTTAGGCCGCAGCATGACTGTCCGGAAACGGTCATTGCCTTCCGTATACAAGTCCAGTGTTGTTCCACTTCTTGCGGTGGATTGCAACTGAGTGCATATGCCAATGAAGACTGAAAGGTCGCCTGAACAGAGGGATCAGTTAAACTGTTTACATTAATCTTGCGGTGCTTCGTGTTTCGGGATCCTCCAAAACACATACAGATTTTCGCGCAGACCAGAGCATGATCTGAGTTAACGAAGGTGGACCAAAGGGACCTGCAGTCCAGTACGCTGCCGTGCCATCTGAAGCTAATTGCAATGTGATCAAGTTGAGACCACGGTTGTGTTGGAGAAGGGGGACGCCACGTTGCGGAACGCTTCTTCGTACGCCTGAAGTTAGTGCTCGAAAGAAACAGACGGTTGTCTTCGCACAATGTGAGAAGCCTCTCTGTGTTATCAGAGCGGTTCTCAGCGAGCGAGTGATGACCACCAAGGTGGCATTCGTATGGTAACAGGCGGCCAACCCGTGCATTAAAATCCCCAGCAAGGATAACGACATCCGACTTTTTAGCAATAGTCAAGAGCTGTTGTAGATCCCGATAGAATACGTCCCTGACCGAGTCGCCACTGCAGTCAGTTGTGGCGTACACGGAGATCACAAACAAGTTGTGTCTCTCTTCGCGGTGCCTGTTGAGTCTACATGAACCCCGAAGCCGAACTTCACATAATCGGCTGTTAATAGGGAACCAGTCCAGTAGTGCCGCCTCGGCCTTGCCACTCAGGGCTATACCTACACCAGCCAAACCCGCTGAGGCTGCTTCTGGATCTCAAGAAAGACGCAGGTGATATCTGGCTTCGTGGTCAGTGGGGGATGTCAATGTAAGCACAGTGCTGGGATCTTGCAATCGGGTTTATGCAAGGCAGCAGACATCAATGTGTAGGGAATCTAGGATGCGCGCTAGACCGGCTTGCTGTCCAATCTGCATGAGTATGCGAAGGTTGAAGCAAGCCAGATGGAACGAGGATCGAGGACGAAGGAGAGCCATAGGTCGAACTTCTTGGTCTGCGGCGCAACCGGAATCGCAGCCAGATTGTTGAGCACATGAATCGGGTAACGGAAAGTGAGGATTGTTAACAAACAAACAATTGGCGTGTGATGAAGTCGCGTGAAAGTGACTAGCAGAAATAGCAGCTGATGAGCAAGTTGTAATACGGTTCATGGTTTTGTGAGAGGGTGTGATACTACCCGGTTGCCCAAGCCGAAGCAGGGAGTTGACTTAGGGGACTCCACCCCGAGCCTTTGGCTAAATAACCTGCCCGCAAGGCAGCGGGGCAGTGCGCTACATGGAGTCCATTTTAAGGAACAAAAACCGGTCTCGCTCCAAACCACAACCTGAAGACAGAGTATGCCCCGCCTCTCATCAATTGCTTTAGTAACTTTGAAGGTGCAAAAATGCACCACGTACCACATCTCAATGGGTGGTTGAGGAACGTGAACCATCGCACCACGATATGGTGCAGTCTCGATGCAATGGACTACACTGGTAAATAAGCAGCAAAGGAGTCAAGATGTACGTCCAGAATCATATGGCATCGAGTAAGCAGGTTGTACCCAAAACCACTAAATCACACAGTGGAACTGAGGACAGTATTGATCAGCAGAAAATGTTTAGTCAGGAAGAGTCGACTAACATTCGATGACCCTGTCTAAATGAAGGACCGGAAGATAATGGTCTCATCCAAACAAAACATTGTTGTGACCTAGTACTACAGAAGTCGTGAAACGGAGAAAATAAATCGCAAAGTGAGAAGCTTGATATTCTGGATCAGTAGCATTAGCAACAAAACGCAAAACCACCAGTAAAGTTTTGAGTCTTTATTGTAGAAAGAACCGCAGTAAGCCAACGAAGCGAGTAGACATGACAGAGAGATGGCAACAGAACATGGGCAAACGAAGTAAAGCTAGATCGTGAAACACTAGCGGCGAACGAACGCATGGTCGCCGATCAGGTCCGAGGAGTAGTAGTCGACTATAATGGAAGTTGTTCGGAAGCGACTGTAAAACACAGATTGTAGCGAACATCGCTTAAGCCTTTCTTCACCAACATATTTCATATCTTATTCCTACCGACTGGGTGTATCACACCGGTACACTTAATAAATAGAAAAATGTGTTGGCGACTATTCCTATCATAACCTCCCCAATCGATGCATTTTTTCTGCATGTTGATGAGGTAGTCGTAGATTGTACTGACAAGGAAGGTAGGAAATTAAAAGGAGAGAAATAGCAAGACACCGATGCTGTTGAGATCAAAGCGTTCATAGGCTGTTTACTTCACACTGGTATCCTCTAAAAATAGTGTTTCTATGGAACTTTTATTCAGTCATGTCGATGGTAATCCCCTTGTGAGGGTATTAATTTCAAAACAGATTTAGCAACCTGTTAAATCACCTACGTTTTGATGACAAAGACGCAAGATCGATTCGCAGATAACGAAATATTTTCACACCCATAGGAGATGGGTGGGGATCATTTCATAAGGACCCTGTCAAATACCATAACCATGCAGAGAGCATCATCGTAGATGAGCAGATGGTGGGATTCAGAAGCCGGTGCAATCCATACAGTACATGGTAAGCAAACCCAACGAATACGGAATAAAAATCTTTTGGGCGTGTGACTCTTGCACCTATGCAAATAGGCCAACAGTACATTGTCTACCCGCATAAGTGTTGGAATCGCCACTGGGACTGTAATGTCGCTAACAAAGTGGCCGAAATGTCCTTACAGACAAGCACTTAGTATATCTGAAACTTGCAGAGAACGTGTCCAAGAGAAAATTTATCTAACAAACACACTCACGGAGACAACCGTCAAAGATTCAACACAGATGTGGGAAGATCTCTCACTATCAGTCGGACCAAGAAAAGGGCAGCAGTGCCAACCCCTCATGATCCCGCAAGACAAAACATATCGATTGTCTTGAAATCCCTCGAATAAGCCCCAACCATCTCTGGAACCTCGGCAACGACTGCGAAGAGGGCAAAAACTACCAGCGATGTTCAAATACAGAAGCACTACTATCTGTCCACCCGAGAAAGACTGGAAGATGAAATCCCAGGGTGACCAATGTGGGGCGTTCATCAGCAAACACACAGTCCAGCAATGTAAAAACTGATATTATAATTTTTTCTCAGAATTAGCAAATTAGAGCATACCCTTATTTTCTTTTGTAAAAGATTAATGTTTTTGACCAATAGCCCGAATAAAAATTGGAACTGAATTTCAACTGCTTTATATTCATCCACAAGCAAGTTTTCAGTCAGATCCATGTTTACTGTTAACTTTACTTCAGTTTGTTTTTTGAAAAATGCACGGGTGTGTTGTATTCAGTTAGTGGGGATTGTAGAAAAAGTGTTTCAGACCTAGTAATTATTACATTTTCGCATTGATGACAATTTTTGATCCCTGAGTAGGTTCATCATGACTATCTTGAGGAATGGGTGAAGTATGACTGGAATTGACTTCAGATAAAGGTGGTCGCCGGGTGTAGTGCACAATCGGTGGGGTCAAACCCAATAAATCTGTTCTCCGAACAAAACACAAATGTCAAGATCAAACACTAAATAGAATAACCACCCGATTAAATGCGGACAGAGAAAAGAGTTATCAGCAGTACGGCGGCAAACCACTTCTACAGGACCACCGCAGATCATGCACAGCTTGAGTATATTGCGAGATCGCGCGCACCGACGCGGATTAGAACCATCGGGAACCTCCGGGTTACAAAGGAAGCGTGTGATGCTTTAGGTCACAGGTAAACCCAAGTAGATGCATGAAGAGAACTCACTTGTTTCGAGATTTCTCCCCACGAGCACGACGAGATTTCCCTCCCTCTGCATCTTCGGCTGACTGTAATGAAATTATAAATTCCTTGAAGATCCGGATGCGCTCCGATTCTAGAGAAAGAGCCTACAAATTAAAGTGATACAAATTGAAGTCAGGAGGCAATATGAACGGGGCAACCGGGAAGATGAGACAGAATAAGAAAGGGCATTTTTAGCAAAATAATGGAAAGTGCAACAAAAAAATTAGACCGACGGTGAAAGCAGGGTAAAACAAACTTACAATAAAAGCGGGATGGCTTGCGAAACGATTGCGAACTTCTTCCCAGGTTACATCGGAATCAGTAAAATTTGCTGAAGACAACATGTCACGAAAGCTTTGCTCCATCTTCCGAAGGCGACGAGCATCGTCACGCTGACGTTCACGTTCGCGTCCATGTGCCTTTTCCAGTAGACTGTCAAATGCCATACGCAGATTGCCATCGTCTATGCCGGCGCTTCGTTCGTCTTTTTCAATGAACTAAATTTACCGCGCACAGATAATATTGGAAAGAATACAAACAATATAAAGCTAGACAAGTGAAGTATGGCGTTGTAGAAAAGATAAGAGATCTACAAAATGTCAGACATTTGAAACAGGCTGCCATGATATAAAAACCGTCATAAAAGGAAAGAATTATCACGGTTTCAGCCACCCCAACACACCAACGATGTGCATTCCTGTAAGTATTCACAACGAAGCAAATAAAGAGCATTGTAGGGAATCCAACCTCTCATTCGAAAATGAGTCACTTGGAACCTGATGAACATCAATAAGTGAAAAAAGACAGGGGGTGGAGCGGTGAGGGGACAAGAATGCGATATCCCAGTTTATTCTTAGTGAATTCTCCCTAAACTGTTATTCAGCTAGCGACGTGAGTCAAAGTATTTGAAACCACTGCAACGTGGCAGTGTACGGATTATAGTCCATCTTCCGAGAAGATACCAGGAATACCCCAACATCATGCGCTGATGTATCGCTGCTGTGTAACCACAAGTGGTGAGGGTTTGCATATTCTGCCAGAGCGACCGAAAAATACGCGTGAGCAGGAACTTGAAACCGAACTAAGGCTGGACACCGGTAGGGGTGCTACAGAGGTTAGGATGTAGAAAGTGATTATTCGGACATAAAATACAAGGATAAGTTAGTTCTCAACTCAAGATACATCACCATAATTGCTTAACAGTAAGAGGTTCAAGAACCTGTCGAAGAGTAAAAAGCTAAACGAAGCCCCATCAACCAAGCTGACTGGCTAGCCAAACAACCTCCACGTAGTGCCAGCTTCGTGGTCCGGGCTAATCCTGTTCCAGCGAAAGGTTCGACGGTAGTGTTCCGGGAGGAGGCGGGTTGTCGCCTGGCAAGCTTTCTCCCTATAAAAAGCCATAAATGTCTGTTTAACAACGTTGTGACGTGGAGGATGTGACTCGCCAGTAAATAAAATCATTGCTTCCTGCCTTTCCGAAGGATCTTACCCCACTCACGGACGTCTGCCAATTCGAAGATATTACTTGCCCCCTTCCTATGTTGACAAATTCACCACATAAAACCACAAATTCACTCAACATGATTACTAACCCATGCACTTACATATATACAGAAAACACAACTTCAGTATGTACTGGTTACATAGTAACACGTGACAATTATTGATTATACGCCCTGTCTTACTATGATCATGTCATTTTAGGCGTCTCACAATGTCGGGAATAACACATTTATTTATTTATTTACTTTAAGTAAATCCGTTTCAAAACCCGCAATACCACATCATCTTTACCTGCTTTGCTAGTCCAGATTCCCAGTGCTCCACAACTTCAGCACAGCAGTAACAAGTTCACTCGACACGATTACGTACCCAAGCATTTACATACAACATAACTCCAGAAATGCTGACTAAATTGTAACATTAGTGTTCGATTATTGAGCATACGCGTTTGTATTACTATGAGTATGTCTTTTTAGGCGTGTCCCGCACCGTGGGGAATAAAACATTTATTTATTTATTTGTTGACTAGGTCCTTCAGAAAATACGTTAGACATCGGATCAAAGTGTAGATGATAAGTCTAGAGGCAATGGAAACAAGAGAAATAGTTGGACGAGTTTCAAAAGACGGGTTATAATAGTTTTTAAGGGGGGAGTGATGTTTGACAATCATCATAGAGAGCGAATTGTTTCCTTGTGTCAAATAATGCCAGACAAAGCAGCGATAGTGGTCATTAGTGAACAGGTTGTTAGAAACAGGCGTCCATCCCAATTCAGCAGCACCACGTTGCGTGAGATCAAGTCGAAGGCAGGAATTCTTAACTCAAAAGCTCATGTGAGGCCAAACGACCAAACGGACAACAATGACAAATCACAATAGGAGAAGTGATTCCTCCACCATTAAGGCTGTGACTAGAAGCATACCGATTGTTCCTTTCCTCAGCAATTGTTTCACTTTCAGCAGCTTTCTCGGACAAGTGTGTAAAATGGGTTGAGATGGAACTCTGGTGTTCCTAATGGCGCCAATTTTTGCCATCTCGTGTATCCTTACAAAGTAACGTCACCTCTCGATTCTGAAATACAGCTTGAAACACCTTCAGAGTGGTAGGGAAAATGATCCCCAAATGAAATTGACCTACACGATTAAGGCGAATTCGCCAGAAATGCAACCGTTATTCCGGGGCCTCCAATCCAATGAACAAGCGGCCCTGAGTGTCCTTGGATAACGCACTGGAACTGGTTTGTCCCTTTGGTTTGCCAATTACAGATGGGCAACTAACTTCAGATTGATAATGTTGCCTTGTAGGCTGTGAACAGTTGTCAAACAACCACCTTCGGAGCTCGATACATCTCCGAGGCTGGAAGGGTCGGTGTTACGCAATAACGCATGACAGCATGATCTGAATGGAGACAAGTATTCAAGATGGAACGATAATGTAACAATGAAGTGCACCATGTATGGTTGATGGTGACGTGAACAATTTGACTCCAGAGCAGTCTGCTGTTCCGTTAGTGTGGTGGAAATTCTGTCATGGATACCAAGGTTGTGATCAACGCGTAGATGAAGAAAACGGTTATCCTTGTCATTACGACATGCATCGACCCCGAAACGAACTTCAATGTGGTGTGGTGATTCTGACAGATATTTGTGTAGTCTACAACGATCACGAGGTCCATGCTTTTTGTCATTGGAATGAAGGAAGAGAGATACTGATGGAATTCACCTTTGGTGACTCCCAATGGGAGTGGATGAAAGCGACATACAAGCATCCCGTCTTCAACCGCGGTATATCAAGTCGAGCAGAACTTCAAAAGCGAATGGATAATCAAATGTTGAATAGGAGGCAGTCCAGAACACATCTGCTGAGAGCGTTTAACGTACAGCAAATGCCTCAAGGTATTGAATCATCCGCAGCAGAGGCACGAAGTCTATATGGATGAGTTAACTGTTACTCTGTGTACATGTTGGGACACAATATAGATCGACGCCGAGGGAGCGTAAAGTTATAGTGATTGTCACCATCCTAACATAGAATGAAGGAATCGAAAAACCCAGGGTGGAATGGTGACTTAGGTTTAAAAGACGACCAGTCTTTTGTGTTAGGGTAGCTGAAGAAATCAGTAGTGATATCTTGTTGCTTGATACTAAAGGGGAGAGGAAAGGAAGGACTACAGGAGGGGAAAAACCACCGGTAACGGGGTAGCGTGAATGGATAATATATCCGGTTTATAATGCAGTCGTCCGTTCAAACCTCTTATACGATTGGGAAACCTGGTCCATCAGGTCGACAGACATAAAGAGGATCGTCACGTTCGATCATCGCTGCTTCCGCAGCTTAGCACATGTACGGTGGGAGTACCGCATGAGTAATAAGCGCATTCGGCGTCGCGTATTTGGTGCAGGAAGAGCGAGTGAACCATAGCGCCATTATATCACGCACCAGGCTTCGATGGATGGACCACGTGTTGCGCATGCCAGCACACCGACTCCCACGAGATGCATTGTTTGCGCCGCGGGTGCGGTTGGGAGAGGAGGAGGGGAGACCAAGCGATGACTTGGTCGAGAGAAATGAAAACCCTCACTTCGAAGTTGGCATCGGTTGATGCATCCCGACTGTCAGGCTGGGGCCCTAAGGGCGATGAACACGTTTGGTTGGACACGCTGATATGGCAAGGAGCCGGCACCGTTTGTTGCGAGTGGTTTTGTCCACCGCCGCTTTGCTTAGCCTACCCCTCCAATCACGATCTCATTCGTTAGGCATAATATAACCTTTTTGCGGGACGATAGCCAACTGTTAGCTCTCCGGAACGATGTTCATCCGTTACTGGGGACTCAGCCGGCCTGCCACTGTTGTTTATTCTTCTTGTCTTCTGTACTGCGGCACAATAGCTGAAGTGTTTTCCACCTGTAGCTAACTTGTATGATGATGAGGACGACGACGATGATGATGGTGATGATGATACCGAGAGAGGAGTTTTACCTCATGCAACCTAGCTCTAACCTTGGACTTAGCAGTAAATCCAACAGATGGTGAGGTCGAGGAGAGTCAGCTTGAGGGACTGCACTGGGTGGTAAAATAGAGACTAATAAAGATCACTGCACCATAACTGCTAGATCCATGAAAATGTTGGGTACGTGTACGTATGTGATCGCAACAGTCTAGGAACTAGACATAGGAACTAGGAACTAGACATAGAGCCAACAAAGTCATGGAGATTAGCAGATAAGGGGCAGTCACTGCGTCATAATCATCGTGACATAGCAGTTGCAGGTGAGCAACACACTTCAGCTACTATGCCGCAAGAAGAAAGGAACATTTTGACAAAAAGTAGAACAAAACATTGTTAGTTTGATTTTGGCACGCCGATTTTCTCTTTTTGTTATTTTCAAGGTATTAAAAATGACAATCATTACAATTTTGTACACAATTCATCCATTGATTTCGGTTGCGGGCCATATCTTCAAGAGTGCTAAGCCATTGGCACTCCTCATCTTTGGGTCCCCATCCTGGAAGACGTACGGGTGCAACAGCGGCTAGACACGACGTCAGCGATTCCATGTGCCGGCGCCAAGTGAAAGACTGACCACCATGCGGTCGCCTCCAGCCAGGTCCTTGACGAGCGAATAGAGCGCGACGCGGCAGAGGCTTAGGTGTCATGCGTGAGACGTGACTGAGCCATCTCAAATGGCGCAGCAAAACCAATATGTTGAGGAGAATACTGGCATCGTCCAAGATGCGACGTGGAACGTCATTACTGTTTAACTCTATGTTGCCACCAAACACGAGCAATCCTCCCTTTAAGCAACCGTTACCGAAAGCAGAAAGCCGACGCATGTCTTACACGCGAATCGGCCAGAACTCGGTCCCACACAACAACACTGAGCGAACATATGCGCTGTTAATGCGGCTCTTTAGCGAGGATGTGACGTCGCGACGACGCCACAAGTGCCTCAGATTGGCAAATGCTGATCGGACTTTAGCGATACGAAGAGAAACTACTTTGCTGATGGTGTTGTCAGCAGAAACACAGCTCCCAAGGTAGACGAAACTATCTTCCTGTTCAAGTTGTGCACCATCGAGAGTTAACACGTGAGCAGGTGTAAGCCAATTCTTGAGCAGTACTTTACATTTCGATGAGGCGAAGCTCATGCCATACTTAGATGCTTCAACCGTTAAACGATCCAGAGTGAGTTGCATACACTGAGGATCGTCACCAAGTAAGGCGATATCATCAGCATACTCTTAGTCGGTCGCGCTCTCCCCCGGTAGAAGCTCTAGGCCAAGATGCTGAAAACCTTCTAGAACACTCGAGAGAACGTCATCGATTGCGAAGTTGAAGCGGAATGAGAACATAGGGCAGCCCTGTCACACACCGCTATGGAAAGTGAATTGCGAGGAAAGCTTGCCGTAGGCCCTCACTCTGCCGGATGTATGAAAGTAAAATGCTCATAAGATGGCGGTATATTTCTCTGACACGCCGTTCTTTAGCAAGCAACACCATAAAGCAAGTCGATCAACGGAGTCAAAAACGGCTCGTATGTCGAGGCATGCAACGATAACGGGCCTGTGATAAATGTGGCGATGTTCGAGGAGCTGGCGGAGCGTGAAAATTTGATCCACGCACCCGCGGCCGGGACGGAAACCAGTCTGTTTTTCAAGGCAGTATGATACACGTACTGGGAATAGTTTGCGAAGCAGAATGGGTGCCAATAGCTTAGAGGCAACGGAAATAAGACTGATAGCGACATGATTTACACATGAAATGGTAGCGCTTTTCTTGGAAATCGGGACAATAGCTGATTCAGCCCAAGGCACTTTCTCTTCATGCCAAATTTTTGCGAACAGCGAGGTCAGCTGGTTAATGATGCCCACACCGCCGTACCTGAGTAGTTCCGGAAAAAGTCCGTCTAAGCCGGCAGCCTTGAACCGCTTTAATTGTCGAATCTCGAGGCAGACTTCCGCCTCGCTGGGTGAATTCAGTGGGACGAGCCAGGGTGGACAACAACGTGCACTGCATGTACTGATGGATGGTGAAGGCCAGTTGAACTGCGAGTGAAAGTGCTCGGCCCAGCGGTTCATACGCCTCTGTTGGTTGGTGATCGGACACTCATCCGCCTTGCAAATGACCTCACTGACATCAGGCTTCCTGAGGTCAGTGGACCGAATGGGTTGGAAAAGCCTGCGAGTGTTGCCAGAGAGGGTAGCGGTCTCCATCTCTAAAGCACGCTCAGACCACCATGTCTCGCGATCCTTGCGTAGGCTTTGCTTGAGCAGCCGGTTGGCACAACGGCGCCGCTCGTTGTAATCTGATTCCGCGGGGATACCTTTGCGGCGTTCGAACATCTCCAGAGAACGAGCAGAGATCCAAGCCTTTAGGGGACATCGAGTAAGGCCGCAGCTTGACTGTCTGGAAATGGTCATAGCTTTCCGTATACAAGTCCAGTGTTGCTCCAAGTTTTGTGGTGGATTGCAACTGAGTACATATGTCAGTGAAGACTGATAACTCGCTTGGACACAGGAATCAGTTAATCGGTTTACATCAATCTTGCGGTGCTTCGTGTTTCGGGACCCTCCAAAACACATACAGATTTTCGCGCAGATCAGTGCATGATCTGAGTCAACGAAGGTGGACCAAAAAGACCTGCAGTCCAGTACACTGCCGCACTATCTGAAGCTAAATACAATGTGATCAATTTGAGACCACGGTTGTGTTGGCGAAGAGGGACATCACGTTGCGGAACACTTCTTCGTACGCCTGAAGTTAGTGCTCGAGAGAAACAGACGGTTGTCTTCGCACAATGTGAGAAGCCTCTCTCCGTTATCAGAGCGGTTCTAAGCGAGCGAGTGATGACCACCAAGGTGGTATTCGTATGGTAACAGGCGGCCAACCCGTGCATTAAAATCCCCAACAAGGATAACGACATCCGACTTTTTAGCAATAGTCAAGAGCTGTTGTAGATCCCGATAGAATTCGTCCTTGACCGAGTCGTCACTGCAGTCAGTTGGAGCGTGCATGGAGATCACAAACAAGTTGTGTCTCTCTTCGCGGTGCCTGTTGATTCTACATGAACCCCGAAGCCGAACTGCACATAGTCGGCTGTTAATAGGGAACCAGTCCAGTAGTGCCGCCTCGGCCTTTCCACTTAGTGCTATACCTACACCAGCCAAACCCGCTGAGGCTGCTTCTGGATCTCAAGAAAGACGCAGGTGATATCTGGCTTCGTGGTCACTGGGGGATGTCAATGTAAGCACAGTGCTGGGATCTTGCAACCAGGTTTCTGAAAGGCAGCAGACATCAATGTCTAGGGAATCAAGGGTGCGCGCTAGACTGGCTTACTGTCCAATCTGCATGAGTGTCCGAACGTTGAAGCACGCCAGAGGGAACACGGATCAGGGACGAAGGAGAGCCATAGGTTGAACTTCTTGGTCCGCGGCGCGAACGGAAGCGCAGACAGATTGTTGAACACATGAATCGGGTAACGGAAAGTGAGGATTTTTAGCAAACAAACAATTGGCGTGTGATGAAGTCGCGTGAATGTGAGAAGCAGAAACAGTAGCTGATGAGCACGTTGTAGTACAGTCCATGGTTTTGTGAGGGCGTGATACTACCCGGTTGCCCAAGCCGAAGTAGGGAGTTGATTTAGGGGACTCCACCCCGAGCCTTTGGCTAAATAACCTACCCGCAAGCCAACGGGGCGAATTCAGGGAATCGCGCTCATTGGGATTCGCTGATTGGATGTTCAGTTCATGCGTCTTTCGTTTGGTAGATCACTAAACAGGGTCCCAATACCCCGTGAAGTCAGCACAATTGCTGGACTACAATGCCTTGACGAGGTGGAACACTGCCGCCGAACACTTGGCTGGAACGGGGTACACCCGAACCACCCAGCTGGCACCACGAGGTAGTTCGGCAAGCCACCTTCAGAACATATCTTCAATATTCAATCAAGATCTGCAACCGTAGGAGATTCAGAATAAAATATAAATGCTTCATCGTATCATTTGATCCATCCGCATCCGCAGCAAACAACAGATGAGAGTTACCGGGTCTAGATTACATCAACCAAAAGATACCTGGTCTGAAGCGATCAACAGAAAACCAGTAACCAAGGGTCGTGTTCTCTCATCATCAGAGACGACCCGTGTAGTTTCTGGTCTACGGTAATCCAGTTATACTTATATCGCGCAAGCGTTGTACTCTATGGTTAAGTTTCCAAGGAACAGAGTGGTCGGGATGTTCTCAATCTCTGAAGAAGTGTGTACTCAGTCTGAGTTCTCTAAAAAGGACCATTCTGGTATAATTGATCCTAGATACCCAGGGAAAGTGTCAACCAGCGTAGCTCATTGGGGTTACACAGGCATGTAAACATTCGCACCACGCCAAGGTCATTGGGAACAGCGGACATTTCAAAACTGAAGCGGACGACGAGCAACTACCACTCATCGAGTGAAGTGAAGTGCTCTGATAAGGAAGAGGAATCAAGATAATCAATGTCTAACTGCATGAGCACAAGACAACAGTACACTGCTGGTTGGCTAAATTGTCAAGCAAATATGATCATAACCAGAATGATGTTCTTCAGGCTGCAGGCGACTTGTGACATTTGAAAACAGCCTAACAAGATCATCGGAACCGGTAGTGTCACACTTAAGTTTCGTGATTCATAAAAGCATGTTTGTTGAAAACACAATGTGCGCTTGTGTCTGTACAAAAATCTGAGCGCGACATGATGTACTCTACTGAGCTACGAGGCGCAACGAGGCGGTGGTATAAAGTTTCCCCAATACCCAGGAAAGTCCACAGACAAAGTGATAGAAAAAAGGAAAAAGCACTCATTGCACTAGAGTATCACACATTCATCTGAACAGGGCAAATCAAACGCTTGAAGGCTTGAGGCGCAGTTGGATATAATTTTCCAACGCAAAGATTGCTGACAGCACGTATGAGAGAAACAACCTTGGCACAAAACGTAGAATGAACTGAGCGCACACCCACTATTAACACATTAATAACTTAGGAATTGAACGGACATAAGGATTGTATGAAAAGAAAAATGTTTCAACAAGAAACAGTGCAAGCCATTCGTTTCAGTCGCAGGCAACTGAATGGAGAGAAGTTAGACCATTCTTTTAAAAGAAAGCCGAGCAAACACGGTAAGTTAAACTGAGTTCATTTTGCCCTGAGTCGTTAATTGCTTAGACGTATGGTAGCAAGAGTTATGGAAAAGTGACGCATTACACATCGGTGCCCAGACTGAAGTTGAATAAGTAGAAAGAACGCGTACCCATGAAGACATGTGACTTACCGCAGCGAAATCCACGAAATTGGTTGATACATCGACCACGTAACCGTGGTCCTTCACGATTTCTTTAACAATTTTACGCTCGGCGGGATAGCGAGCTTTCAATGCTTCGACGTAAAATTTAAAAAGATCCAACGGCGTGGATCCACGTTGAGCCAACATTTTATAAAACCGATCATCTCTGAAAAAGCAACACCACAGTGCACACAATATCAGGCAGTTAGAGTGAGGAAAGATATAAGGTAGTCGGACTTCATGTAATAAATGTTAGTTATCTATACAATGCTAGGTATTAGGCATGTCGCCGCTGAATGGTTATTAAGGAGTGAAACTAGCCACCGAGCATCGGTTCGACCCCAGGTGAGCAACCTAGGAGACCCGACCATACCATTCACGAATAGAACAGACGACGATGGTTGCAATGGACAGTGTCACTTGGGTTGGCGTAGTGCCAAGGCTCCGTGGAGGTTAAGAACCTAAAACAGAAATACCATCGTAACGATGCGTCAAAAAGCCCAACAGAAAAATAAGCAACTTGGATAACCCCCAATGCAGTCAGTAGTTAAACTCGATAAGAATCCCAATCCCCTCAGAGAAGAGCGAATGAAATAAACAGGGACGATAGCATAGGTAACAATAGTGTTAATGGGATATTCAGCTGGCAATAGGCCTGTAAAACGGACGCGTTGTGATTCAACCTGTTGATTTGAGACGGAATGCAAATACGTGGAATAGTTAGCAAGGAATTCGTCTACTCAAAAACCAAACCCGTTCTCAGACAAGCATAAGGATGTAGGGGAAAATGGGGTCGATAGCACCGATATCGAGGCAAAGCAGACAAGACAATCAAATGCATAGAAAAAAGAACGCCATGGTGACAAACTTGCTGATGACGGAATACAAGTCCTTCCACAGGGATGTTGATGTAAGCATTTTCTGTTCATGCAATTCATCCAGTAATACGATAAAAGCTTCGCGATTTTTTCGTTGCACACGTTTCTGTTTGCGTCGCTCTCGTTCACGTTCCTCATCATGCTGCTGCTCCAACATGCAAATGTGTTCTTCAAAGGATATCAACGCATCTTCCTTGTCTAAGCTTTGCAATTCCACATCGCCGGTAAATCTGTGTGCATTCAAATTGAACGAGAAGAGAGTAGCAACCAAACACTGCAAAATTCAGTGAATTACCGACGTAAACAACTAGAGGTCTTAATGGTCAGAGGCCAAGTAGATCAAGGTAATGAAGAATAACACTGCCAACAATTCAACTTCAGGATATGGTAAGCAAACTGAGGTGTTTCCGCTTTAGAAGAGTGGCAGAACCAAAAGCGGAATAAATGGATAAACAAAAACCATGTGGAAAAAGGACCAAAAGGAATGCTCGGTAAAAATATCGCCTGTTGTACGCCGTAACGGCGCTTCGCTATCACGCAACCACCACCAATCGCGCGTCGTCTGAGTATACCGCGAGGACACACCCCTAGCCGGATTCGAACCCGTGACCTTGTGGTTGCAAACCAAGTACGCAGACCACTAGGCCACCGACCGACAGTAGTTTAACAGAATTAAGTGATGTCTATGCGCAGCGAGTTGACAATCTCAGGTGCACACTAACGCACGGAGCCGCGGTAGCAACTGCTCCAGATGAGTTGCAACTGTACTCGGCTAATGTTAATATCAATGAGTTGCTCTATTTCACGAGCCTTTGTCAGATGGCAAATTTCGCAATAAGCTCTAAGGTGTAATTCAATCAAACTGATCGACACCTTCGAAGTAAATCTACAGCTCTGACGTCTTAAATTACGTGTTCAGCCAGCTTCAAAGGAATGCGTCACAGCACGTATAATAAGAATCCAGAAATTGTTCAATTTACTCATATCGGTTACCAGTAACAACTGGTGGATCAGCAAGACGTGGATATGGAGTTCAAATTCGAAGTGGGAAGCCTAAAACCTAGGTGCATCGCTGAAGTTGGAATAGTGAGCAATATGCGCGCGCACACACAAGCGCCTGATCGGAATACACACCCTTTCTCCAAATTGGCCGAGTCTTGAATCGGTGTACGCCATCTGTAGTTGCCGGCAATATAGTCACTTTGTGTCCAGGTCACGGATGCACTAGGTGGGAAGTGGGTGGGACGATGTAAACAACCGTGCTATAAAACCATGTTGCTGACCTAACTACTGTGGTCAGCACATGAGGCAGGTTGTAAAACATTTAACACCAAGTGGTGGAACACGTCACAATCCGGCTCTATCCCAATCGAGTTATGGGTTAATGACCCGTAACTTGTTGGTTTCCTTGAATGCGTTTTGAAAGAAGAGAGTCAGCGAGCTTTCTTCAACCTCCGATGAGTCCGTCTGACCAACTAGTGGTCTGTCTAATATGAGTAGTTCTGAAGGCATGTACCACTAAGTGTATCACAGGGGTGTGCAACCATCGCATTTATTTTAACTGCACGTCCCAGTTCAGCAGTTAAACAACAATGATCTGAGCACTTAAAAGCGCAGCGTGTATGGAGTTGCTGTGACTTGCATCCTCACGTAGTAGTCATAACCCACGATAAATAAGGACGTTGAGCAAAACGCAAGGTAGAAAAAGAGCAAAAACAATCGGGAAAAACAATTGTTAAAGGGTGTTTGATTGCAAAAAGTGAAAACAGAAGCGCCATTGCCCCCATGGATGCGCTGCGAGGGAAGAGGTCGTCAACTACAGATGTAGCCAACTCCGACTTCCTTATTCTGGAAGATGACGCGTACTAGCCTGACAAAGTTCCTTGGTCAACTTTTCATCCCATTTTGTCACCTCATCGGGTGGTCACCTCGCAGTTTCGACTAACTAGTTTCGGTAACAGTAAATAGCAAGGAAGGCAGCCAACAGACATACGATTGGTATGACCTTCTCAAGTGAAGTAACTGGAGTTCAAGAAACACTTCGGAGTAGCATAGGACGATCTCTTTCCAAACAACAATGAAAAGGATTTACCGCTGCTTATTAAGTGATGACATTATACGAACGCCGATGGTAAGAGACGAGCAGCTGCTCACCGCTCTTAAAATGTCTCTGATCTTCACGTTGACATCGACCGTACCGCTGAATTGCACACTCTATCCAGGGCCAATTGAGATCTCCCCGTCCTCCTAAATCGGTGAAACCTTGAAAAAAGCACGGGAATGTATGACAAAATTAGCAACCACATCTGTGATTTGGCCATCCGAGATAACATAACTACCCAAGTAAGATATCGGTCAGCAACTTCAAGTGGTGACATCTCGGCTCGGATATGCAATATGTGGATGGCGGCATGCGGTTTCGGATTTGCTGTCACTATGGCCAGCAACAGGATGCTTGCGCCTAAAGAGGAACCATGGATGGCTTGCGCTGCAACACCCACACACCCCATATCCAGTGTAAACCCGAAGTAATAAGACCAGGAAGCATGTGGATGGGAGCCACGTTTCATCAACGGAGCCGGCTCACACTCCTTCACAGACAGACACAAGCACGCTGCATTTGGGGAACCAAGTGCACACAAGGCGGTGGTTGGACCGTAGTCCGCTCCACATAGAGTGCATGGAACCACTCTTCGAGCCTAGCACGACCACAAGGACCGTGCACCTCCGTCCGCTCCAGGAACGATCAACTGTCTCCTGGAGCGTGTATGCATGAGGCAGTGGGTAAGAGACAGATAGGCACCTTGTCAACATGCACATCAAGCGAACCCACACCTGGGATGTCAAACAACAGCCAATCATTCGAAATGCCGATATCATATAAAAGATAACGAATAAGTTAAACCTATATGACGACATAAATACTCGCTAAATTAGCAAATGGAGTAAATTGGTTATAAGCGAAGCCGAGAAAAGTACAAAATGTCTGAAGTTATTTAAAAATTACCACGTGATAAAGTTACGCAACTACCATGAGCGACATGTGCAAGTTAGAAGATTATCAAGTGCGCAGAACAAACCAAATAAAGTGGAATGAATTGTACCCCTATTAAAAGGACATAGTTTAAGTGTAAGTTGATTTAGCCCAACTGCGGTGAAGAAGTACCATGAATGCTACATCATCCTCAGCATATATATATATATATATATATATATATATATATATATATATATATATATAGTCCATGGCTCGCTGAGATTTGCGGTGGCGAGATCCTGACAAATCGTCGATCCGCTACTGCTAATGTTGTGTTGTGGGCTCATATGCCGGAAGCATCCTCGTGGCGACCGCTGGAAAGGAGTTGGGTTACATTCTCCATCTAGATAAAATACAGGACACAATTCCGCGTGAGTCGGTTAACGGACTCATGGCACTCGGCCCGCTGTCTTTCCGGTGAATCCTTCACCGAAGGCATTGGCTGAGGACATGAGTCGTTCTCCTGACAGGTGTGGGCGCCCTGCCAGTATCCTAGTCCAACTCTAACCATGAAGTACGCCAATAATAATAAATTTGTGCTGCATCGGCCGTCGCGCAGTGATCTTAGGATAAAGGTCGCCTTATCTCCTGCATACAGTAAGCTGGATAAGCGAAAACATGCTATTGCTGGCGCCTCCCTCACTTTTTCTCCCCTTGCACATACTCTCCTCGTTCTCACTTCACCTAACCCACTACCACCTCCAATCCAGGTTACAACCACCCATACGGTTGCGCGCCAACACAATCGTATGCCTCCGCGCAAAGCACTCAACATCGGGTGCTGGAACGTGCGCACACTACTGGAGCGGAACTCTAGTGTGCGTCCCGATCGACGCACTGCACTGGTCACGATGGAACCGGCGCGGTACAACATGGATAATGCGGCGCTCAGTGAAATTCGGCTCGCTGAGCAAGGTACGTTGCATGAAGCAGGTGCTGGCTACACATTATACTGGGTGAGAAACGAAACCTCAGCACCATGTGAACATGTCGGATTTGCAATACCTGATCACCTTTATGGCCAGCTGGCGACAGAGCCCACTGGCATCAGCGCGCGACAGATGACTGTTCAGTTAGGTCACAACGAGACTGGACCTTAACGTAGTGCGACGGTGTGCGTACCTCACTGACCCATAAGGCTATACTGGGTGATGCCTCCGGGCATCTTGAGAGCTACTCCTTCCAGGTTGGTCAATGGTGAGAGGTCAGACAAACTCAGTCTCCTGGTCCTCCAGTTAAGGGGTTTGAAATGGGATGGTGTCCATTTCTGTAAAACTATATCATTACCACCTCCCCACTGCCTTGCGAACAGGCTTTTGAGCCAAAGGCTATGGACGAGGACCCTAATCGTCCTCCTGTCTAGGTCGGGGGGCCTGGCAGTATCTCAGCCCACAAACAACCATAACATTTTCCGCAAACATAAACTTCATCCTGTATCGGCCGTCGCACAGATTATCAACGGTCGCCTTATCTGCTGCATACAGCAGGGCGGATCAGCGAAAACATGCTACTGCTGGCGCCTCTCTTCTTTCTTTTCCACCTTTTTGGGTCGCCTTATCTGCTGCATACAGCAGGGCAGATAAGCGAAAACATGCTACTGCTGGCGCCTCCCTTCTTTCTTTTCCACCTTTTTCTCTTACTCCCATCCCGTCCCCCATTACTAACCTTCCTTCTATAATTCCCAGCTTAATTGACAGCAACCGAAATGCCACTGGAGTAGAACCATCTGCAGCCACCATCCCACCGCACCTATCGGACGCCTATCAGCAAAAGTCCTTTATAAGGCCAGGTTATCCATTTTCCATGGCTACATGCAACGTTCGCACTCTAAGACAAACAGGTCAGAAGGCTGCACTCGCACGCACCTTGGACACACTGGGTATTGATGTGTGTTGTGTGTCCGAAACTCGGATCAATGACCCTAAAAGGATGGTTGAATTAACTGCACTCGGCTTATCCTTTCGTTATTGGTTACACGCCTCCGGAGACGCCGATGCAGCACTCACGGGTCAAGCTGGTGTAGGTATCATTCTAAGCTCCAAGGCTGAGCGATCGTTGGTTGATTGGATTCCGGGGAACAGCCGTTTATGTGCAGTCCGTTTGACAACATCAGCTAATGTTGATTCACGAAGTAGTACAAAACGCTGTTTGTTTGTGATTGCCCCTTATGCGCCCACCGACTGCAGTTCAAAC